TGATTATTTGGTATAACTATTATCCCTTATTGCAGTGGTGTAATATTTTCTTATTGTTACTTCAGGTGTGAGGATGAAGATGCTGTAGCCTTAGCCTTTCCCAGTTTATCATCTTTTTGCAGGAGCTAGGGGCTCTTTTCTCATTATGTTTGAGAGGAAAATATTCAAAAATCTGTATTTTTCATGATTTATGTCACTGTACAAATTTGTGTAACAAGCAAAGTATATTTGGAGTAGCAAACAGACACTAGAAACCAAGCTGATACCTATCTATTAATAATGGCAGTCAAGATTTGAAAGTATATTGTTGGTGTCTGAAAATTCAAAGCGAAATAAATTTGCTTTTTTTTTGTGATAATGCTCATAACATCAGATATATAGAGTACAATTGGATTGGATTTGGTTCAAATTAATTGTACTTGCCGTCAAAGTGAGTGGCATTTCAATATATTTTTTTTGAATATGCATACCTGGTTAAATTGTCAAGAGTCTTGGGCAGCGGAACACCATTTAAGGTTTCATTGGGTTCTGCCCAGTTAGAAATCTTTTGTTAGTACTTAGTAGCCCACTTACTTTGGGCCGAAAGACACCATAAAGGAGCCCATTTATTTATGAAAACATAAAACCAGATAGATGTCCATTGACCGGATAGCATGGGCAATATAGTCATTGACTTGTTATTATCTTTGAAAAGGCAAACCCTAGTTTCTGTTCTATAAATAAAGGCCAGCAAGGTGAACGGAAGTCATCTTCGTCTTCGCGACGGAAATAGCCGTATAGTGAGTTTATTCAGTTTGTGTTGATTATGGTTTTCATATCGATATTGAAGTTTTCATATCGCGATATTGAAGTTTTCATATCGATATTGAAGTTTTCATAGTTTAATTTATTGTTTTTGATGATTTATCGTTTTCACATTTTATTTCAATTGGAACCAAAAAAATGTACTGTGCACAATTAAGCCGATGCTCTGGAATAAGAGTATGAAGGTAGCATGGTGATGTGCACAGATAGTGAATCACAAGGTCGTCATGTCTGCTTGCTCTGATGCCATCTTTTGGCTTTCTGATTTGCAGGCCTGGATTAAACCTACATTTTTCTTTTAAATTGA